CGTGGATACGCAGTGAGTTAGTTATTTTGAGAACGAGATTTGACTTTGTTGGGCATTCCATTTGATTTCAAAGTTGAATTGAGAATATCGACGTACGAAACACCGGGAATGGTGTTCTTCAATTCGTCCCAATTCTTGATGCATCTGTTCGTCAATTTAATGTTGAAGGCTAATGCTTCACTGCTAATACAGCTCCTTTGAATATATTGTGGGGAAAAGCATTGGTGGACTCCGATGTCATTTACATATTTTTGAATACTGTACAAATCTAACTCGTCCGACATAGTTTTGCAAATGTTCGCGGGTTTTTTGTATAATTTGTTTGGCAATCCGACACCGGAAGTAAACAATCATTTAAATAAATCTGCTGACCAAAGGGACAGCTGTATCATAATCCCAGATTGGTGAAAAGAGCTTTTCCTCCTGAACATTTTGACACCAAATACGCTATATGTCGTTAAATATTTTGAGAGAAAAGCGTGAAAGTTTGATAGTAACGCACAAACAAGAAGCAGCAAAACGCAGTGCTCGCTACTTTTCATTTTAAAGATGGAATTTACAAAACAACCCATCTTAAAACCGAAAAAGGAAATACTTTTGGAGCACTGGATAGCTGAATAACTGTTGATCAGAGGGAACTCCATAGCTACTGTAAATTGACACGGTAAGTGAGAACGGAACAATCGCTTAATGAAATGAGGTTGTCAAACCTGATTGAAGAGAATAACAAGCGACATATGCGAAAATAATGAGCCTTAGTTGCTCAAAAAATATACGAAATGGAACGGTACCCACTACTAATTTCAATGTTATTTACCTTTAGACAGGGCCAAAAGACTTCCATAAAATATAAACGATTTGGGTAATTTATATAAATGAATGAAATAAATTTATATTTGATATTATTTCGTTAGTTCATATTAATTATCAGGAAAAATGTTTATTATTTTATTTTGCAAATGGTCGGTCTGCTGACGTACTGCGGGCTCGCGCGACCTATATTTCTGGCCATGACGAAGGTAAGTAGCTATATCGATTTTTTGCTTTAAACATTTAAAACCCGACGGCTTTTGCGTATATGAAACAACTAAACAAGACAACATATAATTTTAGTGTATTTTAATAATTGATTCACTTTTTTATTATATTAATGAATTTTTTAAATAGAAAAGAAAGCAAACTTATTTGCATGCGAGAATTTAAAATCATTTTATTGCAAACTCAATGTTTATCGATAAAGCCATTTAAGGTGGCTCCCTAAAGTTATTCTTGTTTAAGCAACAATTCCGTAAAACAGGCTTATTCGTGCAGAACGCGAATTCTTTTCGACTTGGCGGCAATATTGGTCACCTAAGGAATATTTCGAACTAGATTTCGACAACATGAATGATCCCATGGCGACATGACGACAGCATAAAGCCTTCCAATTTAACCCATAAATGTGCCACTATCTCAAAAACTATGTCGGTGACCTATCTTTTTTATTTCATATATCAATAGGGAAGGATGCTCTGCAACTGTGGTGAAAGTTTAAAAAAATTCTGTAGTGTGTGATTTTTTTAAAAGCGAAAATTTTATTGCGAAATTTCCACACTAAAGATTTTTTTAAAAATTGAAATTTATAAAATTTACCGCAAAATAAATTCGTTATCAAAATTTGAAGATAGGTCACCGATGAAACTAATGAGTAAAATGCAAATAAAGTTAGAAAATAGCCTCGTGTAACTCGAGAAATTCCCCTATTAAATAGCGTCGCTGACTAGTAAAAGATTGTACGCGGGCGCAGGACCAGTTTTCATTCAGCAAAATCGAGCGGCAATGTTGTTTTTACTGTTTTGTTTTTGTCAACTTTTCGATTTATTTGAGTGCCATGGACAGCCAAGGGTTATTGTGAATGATCAAATCGGTGAAAACAAGGTTGAAGCTAATTGAATCCTGCCGTTTACTCAATCTATGAGCTGTAACAACCTATTAACAGGTGGACGTGTTTTTTTGTTTCATGTTTGGTTTTGTACTTTTTGCTAAAAATGAACAATTAGGCTATGAAACTGAAATATTTTTCTGTTTACATATAATCACGTTAATCTTGTAGAAACAAGACTAAAAACGTGAACGTTTTCTTGAGAAGTAAACAACTTTTTAAACGTTTGTATGCAATTTTGCAAATGTTTTACAGTTGACAGTGTATATTTCAATTTTTGTTTTGTTTTGATCATGCGGTTGCGTGGGATAGTTCACGTACTGGTCCCGCGAACTCCTGAATTTTACCTTAAATCGAAGCATATATTACGTATAATAACATACCTAACATTTATATGTTTGGAAAATTGATAATTTTGTAATTAAAAGTGATATTTTTAGGCGATTTTTCATTTGTAAAAATATTATTAGGAAATTATCGTGTTACCAATGCAGACAATTAAAACAATGTGAAAAGCAATTTTTTCAAAATAAACTAACCATTTACAAAGCAAATTTACCATATCATTTGTCCAAAAAAATTATAAAATGTCGTTGTTATGTGGACTTATCTCGCAGACTTCGGCTGAAAAGCCGCCCAAAAATGGCGACTTGGGAAAGGCTGATTAATTTAAGTCATGTACCTAACTCTAACTACAGTTAAGGATTTAAATACTGTAGTTAACGGAAACTGCAGTTAACTTTAATTATACGGTCCGGTTTTATACAACCGGCCCCAGGAATTTAAGCCCGCAATATCATGGTGTTGGCACTAGTCCTTTAAGATTGAACTATTTAATTAATGATAGATAAATTACATAAATATATTGCAACATAGCGTCTGTTCGGGCGTGAATCGGGGCCAAAGAGGGAGTTTTACGAATTTGATCTACAAACCTGTTTCCATATGTCTGCAATGAACAGCATCACTGGACATGCCAGACAGAAGGCGGCAATTGAAAGAAAAATATCGACAATCAGCCTAGCAATCAAGCAATAAATATTCTTAATAAAATTTATTTACGAAATATAGCTCTGAATGTTTTATTCCTATAGGACATGTTCTGTTATACTAAACTAATAAACAATTGTTATATAGCTAGTGATAACACCAAACGTAATTGGCTGATTTGTAGTCACGTGACTTTAGATAAATGCAATGTATCCCGCCCGGGCAATAAGTGAAAAATTGTTGCCCGCCCCGACCGGCTACGTACATAAAATTAATAAACAAAATGGCGGCACAAATTTATACTATTTAAACTAATGTTTTCGTGGCTTTGTGTTAAAATAAAGAATGTAAAAGAGAAGAAAAATACATCACAGGCAACAGGATATGCTGCTGAAACCATTTAAGTAGGTTTTTAAATTTTAAACTCGTTTACGCTATAGAGTTTTTGTTATGAAATACAAATATTGTTGTATGAATGTTGTTCAATGTTGATATTTGTTTCGTCGCTATATAACAAAACACTTAACGTCTTTTCCCTCGGGAAATAGTTTTGTTTTCCCTCGAATCTCAATGTTTCCCTCGACTTCGTCTCGGGAAACATTGAGATTCTCGGGAAAACAAAACTAACTATTTTCCTTGGGTGAAGACAGTAAGTGTATATTATTATGGCTATACCGAAGAATGAAGTAAACCTAACGCAATTATTTTGAAAATTATGTAACGTGGCTTTTTCCAAATTTTCTTTGGCGCGTTGAATTGTGGTCGCAGGTCATAATGCTGTTCATAAAATAAACAAGCAGAAGATATTGCGCAAAACTGTTGTAATATCTTTCCTTTGTTTTATTTGGAGAGCACAAGGCTTTGTGAAAATTTATAGATGATCTTAATTAGTATATTGTGTTTTTGCGTGGTTTCAAGTGAAAGTTAGACGTATTCTGTGAGAACATGCAATTTCACATGAGAAAAAATTCAAACTGCAGTGAGAACAGATTTGCGTGATGAAAAATAGATTAAATATACTGATCCGTGCGAGCGAAAGATGAGAATGTTACCGAATTAGGTTTTGATCTTTTAACTAAGAATATTGCTATACCAAATTCTCCCACATACAGGTAGCGAATGAACTTGTGTACAATGAACTCCAAAATAAAAACGACCCCCCCCCAGTTGTTTGGTAGTAGGCAAAATAGTGAATCCTAGAGGGCAAATTGTTTTCGTAGTCGCAAAACATGAATTTGATAGGAAAAAGAAATTTGATTGAAAGACATTTAAAAATTAATAATTGTATTTTGAGAAATTTATGAAATATGAGAGAAAAATGAACGACGGCACATACCATCAAATAATATCAGAAAGGTTATGTCCGGAAATGTCGGTCAATTAAACTTTCCGTTTCTGGAAGATAATCACGAGAGCTTTATAGAAAACATGTATTAGTTAATGATCAATTCATTATTAAAATTCTGGTGACGCAAAAATTTTCGGCCAACAGACCTCAATCCCTATTATTGAGATAAGTCCCGTACCCTATCGTCAAGGCGCCTTTACAACGGCAAACTATATACCTAGTTTGCGTGTCACTAGATATATACCTATTTTGCGTGTCAGTTGATCATGATTCCCCTAAAACTGAACTGCAAAGCTGGCGCCCTAGCTTATCGTCAAGCGACATCATCAAATTTACATGACGGTTAATAAATGGTACGGATTTTTATCAAATCAATTAGCAATTTTTGCACAATCATTTTCTCCACATTGTCTTCCCAAATGGCAGACAATGCCCAGTTTTCCCATATTATCTCACAATCCTTCACACCGTATCAAAATGCAAAACAATTCGAATTTACAATTTAATCATAATTGCTCTAATAACGATCAATAACCTTCCGATCAATTCCCATCTTTTGCTCAATAATCTACCACAGGCAGCACCAATATCTCCAAAATAAGCTGTGTCAGTTCCATTTCTACAAAAATTGAATACATGCATGAACTGTGTGTGGATACAAATACTAATTGCATGTTGCACGAGATACTTCCATGCACGGGCCTACGTATATATATTTCAACCTTTTACTTAATAATTAAGATACGGTACAATTCCCCCTGTTTACAATTAATACAAATAATTTCATGGAACGTGCACGATAAACACGTACTCTGAATCTCTGTATAATGATTTGTGGCAGACAAAATATTAATGTTTACTATTATTGCTGTGCAATACCTTCGAGCAACTTCCCATGAAGTTTGCACCAATCTCTGCATTCCATACACCGTAAGCGCTCCACATACAAAAATCCAAATTATACCAACCTAAATTGCAAAAATACTGAATTCTATAGAGGAGAACAATAATTTCATTTCATAGAAGATATTATTATTTATTATTTTATAATGTTAATGGACTATAGCAGTACTTCACTTACCAAAACGCCTGAATATCGAAAAGCAGCCGGAAGAGAAAACCAACCAGCGCCAACACAAAATTTAAAAATCATCATGGCGCTTTGTGGTCCTCTAAACAGTACACAAGAAATGGTGAGCTTTTGCATGCCACAGCAACACTGTCTTATTATATATAATTTCAAATATAGCAACATATTGTTGTAGTGTATACTATATGTTTGGAATTAGAATTAAAATTTTATATGGTTGATGTTAAGATGATCATCCTGACAGATTTTCTTGTTTTTTCAAGTATCTTCGTCGGTAACATATAATGCAACTATAGACATAGAGATGTCGTCGTCGTCGTCGCCGTCGCCGTCGTCGTTGTCGTTGTCGTCGTCGTCGTCGCCGTCGCCGTTCCTGTTGCTGCTGCTGCTGCTGTTACTGTTACTGTTACTGTTACTGTTACTGTTACTGTTGTCGTTGTCGTTGTCGTTGTCGTCGTCGTCGTTGTCGTTGTCGTTGTCGTTGTCGTTGTCGTTGTCGTTGTCGTTGTCGTTGTCGTTGTCGTTGTCGTTGTCGTTGTCGTTGTCGTTGTCGTTGTTGATGTCCCTGTCACAGTTTTTGTGAAATTGTCCTTGTTTGCTAGCAATGTGTTTCAATAAAAATAATTTGGACTAAATGTAGTAATAATACAGTAAGTTTATGTCTTTGTAATTTTTGTCACTGACAAGCCCCTTTCAGGGGAGTGTCAATAATGTCAATAATCAATAATCAACAATAATCAATAAAACATAACCACTATATGCATGACGTATATATTGATGCGTGTGAAATAGAATGAGAGGGCCATGAACACAAGGGAAAACGTATACAGGGTGTATCAAAAAAAGCGCAATCCTCGACTGAAATGTAAATTGCTAAACAAATAATAGACGAAAACGTTAAAGTTTACATTCATTTTAAATCGTAGCCATTCAGCTTTCTAACAGTGGGTTGTTTCTTAAATTTGACTCATTGGTTCGCGGGTAATAATACTTTACGTTATTGCGATTGGAGATTAAAAAATTGAGATGGAATAACAAATCGTTCTCATGAAAATAACTGATTTTTTCATTAAAACAAAAAAATGTTGCATTTTATTAAATGGATTGTAACAATAAGTATAATTACGGCTTTTCTTCCACTATTTTTAACTCAGTTTGAAACTTCAAATGCGATATAATTTTGGCTTAGACCATCTAAGCTGATCACTGACATCAACTTGCTATAATTTCTGTTTACATTACATCGCAATTCGATGACATTCTGGCTCAGACACCAGAATGTTTTGACGATTTTTAGCATTCGTTTAGGATTTTCAAACAACCTGGTCTCTTTTAAAATACTTTTAATTTGTTCTTACGTGGTTTTCCAGATGTAGTGACCGAGTGACGACAACATTAAAGTTTAAAGAAGAAAATTCTAACATTTAAACCGACTGAACAATAACATAGTAAACTTGCATAATTAAACAGCAACTAAAAATGATAGGTTTTACTAAATCTTTTCCTGTGCAATTATTACTAGCATTGGAGACAAGGATAATAGTTTGTTTGAAAGAGAAAAGAACAGGCTTTGAAGTAAGCCTAAAAGCGTTTAACTAGAAATAGTATTTCGAAAGTTATTAAGCACAAAAGATGAATTGCGTTTATTTTGATACACCCTGTAGTTTCAGTTAATTTCAGTCAAAGGTGCGTCACCTTTGACTGAAATTTGGCTTCGGTACCGCGGTGTCAAAGTGGTTGTCGAAGGCTCAAAACAGTCGCTAAAAGTAGCGATTTCCATACCTGTCTTTCCTGAAAAAACGCGAGCGAAATAATGAATGTATCAATACAAAAGTCGCAAATACACTGTAGTTATTGTCTTCTAGCGCAAGAAATAGGATTATGCAAAAATATGAGCCAAAGGTGACTGTAAATAAATTCCAAATGCTATATATACGATATTTCGTGCTTCACAGAAACTAAAAAAAACATGCATTTCTGCAACAAATACATAAACTTACGATAGTAAATGTGGCCGCTCTCTTTCGTCTGGAATTTTTGAGATTTTATCTTGAGAAGATACATCAAAAATGGGCAATAGTTTATACAATTCTTCACTGGAAGTTTCCTTGTACTTTGCCATCCTGTGAAGTATAAAAATGATAGTCTAAGCCTGAATATATAAATTGCATATTAAAAATGAAATAAGTTTTCTTATATTATTCCGGAGCGATTGCAGAATACCCGTCCATTTTTTAAGCTATACCTTTCAAACATCGTGGATACAATGTTTTAATCAGCTGACCAATTACATCAGGTTTTACTTTGAGAACGAGGCATACAGTCCTCGTTTAGCATTAAAGATCAAATTCTCATGTTATATAGATAGCTGTATATTTTAGTGGATACGCGGATACGTGGATACGCAGTCGACGAGTTATTTGAGAACGAGGCATACAGTTAGTTTAGCATTAATAGATCAAATTCTCATGTCATATTGGTAGCTACATATTTTAGTGGATACGCGGATACGTGGATACGCAGTGAATTAGTTATTTTGAGAACGAGGCATACAGTTAAGAGCATTAATAGATCAAATTCTCATGTTATTGAGGTAGCTGTATATTTTAGTGGATACGCGGATACGTGGATACGCAGTCGACGAGTTATTTTGAGAACGAGGTATACAGTTAGTTTAGCATTAATAGATCAAATTCTCATAGATAGCTGTATATTTTAGTGGATACGCGGATACGTGGATACGCAGTGAGTTAGTTATTTTGAGAACGAGGCATACAGTTCTAGTTTAGCATTATTTTTATTGTATATAAATGATTTGCCGAATTGCCTCTCACATTCACAGCCTCGTATGTTTGCAGACGATACTCACTTGACATATGCGGATAATGATATCGCTAAAATCGAACTTAATCTCACTAATGATCTTGAGAGTATTCGTGAGTGGCTTATTGTTAATAAATTAACACTGAACATGTCCAAAACTGAATTTATGGTGATAGGTTCGAGACAGAGACTTTATACGTTTGATAATTCTCCAGTACTTACAATCGAAAGGGCTCCTATCAAACAGGTAAAATCAACCAAGTCTCTGGGCCTTCACATTGATGAGCATCTCTCATGGTCTGTTCATGTTGATGCCATTTCCAAAAAAATCGCCTCTGGCATTGGTGCGCTAAAACGCATCAGGCCTTTTGTTCCTCGTACAACTCTGCATACTATTTTTCATTCACTAATTCAACCACATTTTGACTATTGCAGTGTTGTGTGGGGGAATTGTAATAAAACTCTTGCTACTAAAATGCAGAAATTACAAAACCGTTCGGCTAGGGTTTTAACATTTTCCGGCTATGATACTAATGCTGATGGTCTTTTTCAAGACCTTGGATGGGAAAACCTTGAAACACAGCGCCAAATTCATCAGGCTATTATGGTCTATAAGTCGATAAATGGTTTGGCTCCTGAATATCTTCGTTCAAAATGTGTTGATCGTAGCTGTGTTTCGGGTTATTCTCTTAGGGACACTGTTGGCAAACTTGCTGTTCCTTTTCCTCGTACTAACTACCTAAGAAACTCCTTTAGTTATAGTGGTGAGTAACATGGAACAGCCTTCCTGTTGAGTTGAGGCAAGCTAATTCTTTAAATTCGTTTCGATCTGGCTGTAATAAATTTCTCTCTTCTCGATCGTAATACCTAATTAATGCACGGCACTCATGAAAGCAGGTTTTTCTTTTGTCATTTCTTAGTATGAATTTATATATTGTGTTATTTATATTGTAAGTAGTGTGTTATTAGTTTTATGCATAATTTTGTAGATTTATTTATATATATAGCTATATGTATGTAATCTTAATCCTGATGAGTACACCGTGGATAAATAAAGTTACCTTACCTTACCTTACCTTACCTTATTAATAGATCAAATTCTCATGTCAAGTATATTGGTAGCTACATATTTTAGTGGATACGCGGATACGTGGATACGCAGTGAGTTAGTTATTTTGAGAACGAGGCATACAGTTCTAGTTTAGCATTAATAGATCAAATTCTCATGTTATATTGGTAGCTACATATTTTTGTGGATACGCGGATACGTGGTGAGTTAGTTATTTTGAGAACGAGGCATACAGTTCTAGTTTAGCATTAATAGATCAAATTCTCATGTTATATTGGTAGCTACATATTTTAGTGGATACGCGGATACGTGGATACGCAGTGAATTAGTTATTTTGAGAACGAGGCATACAGTTAGTTTAGCATTAATAGATCAAATTCTCATGTTATTGAGGTAGCTGTATATTTTAGTGGATACGCGGATACGTGGATACGCAGTCGACGAGTTATTTTGAGAACTAGGTATACAGTTAGTTTAGCATTAATAGATCAAATTCTCATAGATAGCTGTATATTTTAGTGGATACGCGGATACGTGGATACGCAGTGAGTTAGTTATTTTGAGAACGAGGCATACAGTTCTAGTTTAGCATTAATAGATCAAATTCTCATGTTATATAGATAGCTATATATTTTAGTGGATACGCGGATACGTGGATACGCAGTGAGTTAGTTATTTTGAGAACGAGGCATACATTCAGTTTAGCATTAATAGATCAAATTCTCATGCTATATTGCAATTGGTAGCTACATATTTTAGTGGATACGCGGATACGTGGATACGCAGTCGACGAGTTATTTTGAGAACGAGGCATACAGTTAGTTTAGCATTATAGATCAAATTCTCATGTTATATAGATAGCTGTATATTTTAGTGGATACGCGGATACGTGGATACGCAGTCGACGAGTTATTTGAGAACGAGGCATACAGTTAGTTTAGCATTAATAGATCAAATTCTCATGCTATATTGGTAGCTGTATATTTCAGTGGATACACGGATACGTGGATACGCAGTGAGTTAGTTAGCATACAGTTAGTTTAGCATTAATAGATCAAATTCTCATGTTATATAGATAGCTGTATATTTTAGTGGATACGCGGATACGTGGATACGCAGTCGACGGCACGCAGGTTAGAAAACTTGTGGCTACATGATTTAAAGTTATGGGAATTTCCGCTGACCATTTTTGATCGCCTTATTATATAAAATTGACTGCGTATCCACGTATCCGCGTATCCACTAAAATTTATAGCTACCTGTAACATGATAATTTGATCTACCAATCTATTTATTATTAATCTATTAAGAATAAACATATATTAACAAGTTCTGGTCGTGTATATATGCAGTGAAATATTATATTAACAAGTTCTGACCGCGTATCCGCGTATGCAGTGAAATATTATATTAACAAGTTCTGACCGCGTATCCGCGTATCCAGTGATTATATTAACAAGTTCTGACCGCGTATCCGCGTATCCAGTGATTATATTAACAAGTTCTAATAGTGGCTACATGATATGATATAACTAGTGGACGGGTATTCTGCAATTTAGCCACCATTTGTTTTGTTTTACATGGGAAAGCATTATTAAGCATAATATGCGAATAAATTCCTTCTAATATATTGTGATTTTTGAAGCGACTCATGCGTTCTTAAATTGTGTCCGAGAAAGCGAAACATTTCGCTTGTAGTAACCAATGGGTAACAAGAAGCGAAATTTCTCGCTTCCATACAGCCAATGGGCAACAAGAAGCGAAATGTTTCGCTTCCATTCCCACAACACACATATATGCATTACTGTTGTGTTAGTAAAAGAAGCGAAACCTCTCGCTTCCATACAGCCAATGGGCAACAAGAAGCGAAATGTTTCGCTTCCATTTCCACAACACATATATGTGTACTATTGTTGTGTTAGTAAAAGAAGCGAAACTTCTCGCTTCCATACAGCCAATGGGCAACAAGAAGCGAAATGTTTCGCTTCCATTCCCGCAACACATATATATGCACAATTGTTGTGTTAGTAAAAGAAGCGAAACTTCTCGCTTCCATACAGCCAATGGGCAACAAGAAGCGAAATGTTTCGCTTCCATCCCCACAACACATATATATGTACTATTGTTGTGTTAGTAAAAGAAACGAAACTTCTCGCTTCCATACAGCCAATGGGCAACAAGAAGCGAAATGTTTCGCTTCCATTCCCACAACACATATATATGTACTATTGTTGTGTTAGTAAAAGAAGCGAAACTTCTCCCTTTCATACAGCCAATGGGCAACAAGAAGCGAAATGTTTCGCTTCCATTCCCACAACACATACCATTGTTGTGTTGACGTAAATGAAGCGAAGCATCTCGCTTCCAAAGACCAATGAAATATAAACTAAATTCCACTGTCACCATTGTAATCACGCGAAGATTTAATGTCCATACACGCCGGACGCGATTCGACAACGCAACGCGATTTTTCGATTTTCACTGAACGATAACTTTGATCCTAGTTTACGTTTCCCAAATATTTAGAAGCGCTGTAACATTTTGAGTTATTTGGTCTACATATCATTCAAAATTTGCCCTCATGTATTGGCTGTTTTATTAACTTTCAAAATCTTAAAAATCGTGTCGCATTGTCGAATCGCGTCCGGTGTGTAATATGTATGGACCTTCAATAATCACAATCAATAATCCGCCTGGGGCCATGCGCTAACTTCTTTCATTTTCCTGAAAACAAAACGAAATGTTCTCAAGTCTTTAAAATCGAAGGCTTTTGATGAAAATATTGATTTTGAGGTTCATCTAATGGGAAAAATAACTTCTAAAGCTTGTACATGTGCTGCTTCGAGATAGGGTTCCAGTGTCTGTAGAGCTCAGTAGCTCACTTGGTCTCTTTTAATTTTCAAGGAAATTTTGACACAAAAATGGAATTTCAAGGAAGAAAAAAAGAATATCTAAGGAATTTTTGAGAAATGTTTTGAAGATTTCTATAGCAATCGTTTTGATATAATATTACTTTCCATTGCTTTTAAGCACTGTGTCCACGTGGATAAGTACAAAACAAGCTCATCGATCACTCGATCAGGAGCATGTGACCAAGTCATATTGAATTAAACTAAATAGGCTACCCGCTTTTTCAGGCGGAAATCACTAAATCAGGCTGCGAGCGAGCCACCACAAGTTATTAAATTATGAAATATTCATGAAGTATGTGGACGAAGATTATATCAATCACTCTACTA